TCGATCAGATTGTCCACGAGTTGTTATGGACTAATGCTTCATATACTTGTTTGTGAATCTCGGGATCTCTCTGCATCTCTTCAGTATTCAGTTCTTCAATCACAACTCTGATGTCCACCAGTCCTAGACGAACAGCTCCAATAACTTTGGCTGCGACTGCCAACCTCTCTTCTTTCTTGTGTTTAATCCACTGCATCACAGATTTGAAGACGAACGTCTCAGACAGTCCATTGAGGTCATCTCGGCTGAGAAGGGTAACTAATTGGTCTGTGTCTATAATCGATAAGAATTCTTCGCTTTCACAGATATCTTTAAACGTTGATGCCATCTTGCGCTCGGCTGCCTCTTGCAGATCTTTCAGGCCGTGTCTATCAGCAATGGTGCAGAGCAGGCAGTAATTTTGCATGTCAAGCCGGAGCTGAACGAATGCTTTTTCTAGGAAATCACAACACTGTTGAACAACAGTTGCAACTTGAAGATGATCTGCTGCAGCAAGTACCTCGAACACGTTTTCCTCGGTGACATGAAGATCTCCATTGTAGATGGAGTCTAAGATGATCTTTAAAGCGTTTGACTTGAAGTTTTTGTCCTTCAGCTCGATCACTTCCTGGTTCGACTCCTTCATTCCATTTGTAAACATGGCGTAGAAATAATCACTATTTGCAGCCAACACGACGCGATGAGCTGGAAAGATATCTTCACCAACTTTTAGTCGAACATCAATAAATTGACTTTCGTTCCGAAACTGAGAACATTTAGAAAGAAGAATATCAGCGTTGGCAACCATTTTGCTAAAGTAAAAGATCTCACTATTATTTGATATCAACAGCAGATCGCACCATATGGTCTTTAACTGATTGCGTGATTGCGTGACTTTGAATGAACAATAACGTCAGCTCGTTACTGTGGTAACTGGTTTAACATGTATTGGATTTCTCTCGTGCTTCGTTGAACAAGCGCACTTCATAGAATGTAAATGAATGTAAATGAATTGTCGCTAGTGGAGTATTAGATACAGATATCGTCATCTTCACTCTGAGGAAAAACTCCGCCTACAAAAAACTAAAGTTAGTTTCTTGCAAGGACATAAGGCTATGAGATAAAGAATCGACAAATGGATGGAAACAAATTCTCAAATTTTGAATTTTTCACTCAGTACCCAAGTCATCGTCGAATTAGTGAAAATCCCGAAAATCTCTTCGCTTAGATCAATGAAAGTGAACCAACAGGGTATCTTTGTAGCGATGTCTCTATTCAAGGTGCCTGAGCAGAAGAGAATTGATACCCCCTTGTCTCTAAAAATAAACTTTTTAATATTTCGAATTTGTTAGGGTCGATGTCGCATTTTTAGGAACTGATTAAGCTTAGGCTCCTTGCGTGATCGATCACGCGTGCAACTCAAGCCAATGATCACGTTTCATGCACTGCATGAAGAACCGCTGCACCTGAAGAAAGCTGGTTTGGCCAGCCGAAATATAGTGCTCCGTTTTAAAACTTATCCACGTTGTATCGGTCTTGCCTCTTTATTCATATTCGTTATTTTGGGCCGATTAGATCACTGCTGATCCAACGTACAAGAGTAGGATTATCGTCCACGGTTGCTTACTGAACATTTCACAGTCATTTTCAGCGCACATTTACGTCTTAGGCAGAGGAACTGTAAATAAACCACAATACGTGCAAAAATGGGAGATTGACATTGAGAGGCATCTACGGTTTAAATCCAATTGCAGAGATGTAGAAATGATTTGGAAAATTCTGAAAAAGGAAAGAATCCGCATTGTCATGGCTTAGAGGACAAATTAAAATTAACTTCTGTGTAATTTTTATTATATTCTTTGAAGAAGTTTATTTCAAAGAAAAAGAAACATTTTATGTGAGGTAAAAAGACCTAAAAGGGCTCTGCAAGGTTAGATATAAGATTCAAGGTTCTAGATAAGTCCTTGAATATCACGAACTCTACCCTGTATCGAATTGAAATAAACCGATGTACAGACCGCAATTGCAGCTGACACCACCAGGAAAACCAAGAAGAAAACCCACAGATCAAAAGTTCCTTCAATTTGGTTCGTAAGAACCTCCTAAACCATCCTACAACTTCTACAATTAAAAATTTCAGCGTTAATTTTACACATTCATAGTTGTTTCTTGGTTATTACTTCTTACAATTTGCATGGACTCTACTGAACATTTTTAAGATTCCCTCTCATTCTTAGACTAATGTTTGGACACGAACATGATTGAAACTGTTTTAAAGTTAGATCATTTCAAACTGCAAGTAACACCAACCAACTAGTGTTCTGTGCATCCTCATTAGGATACAGCAGCTGTTTATCTTTACCCTTTCATGCATCTCTTTCTTTCTTGGCTCTTTTCGAATAACAAAGGTGAATTCAAATGAACTCATTCAGTTTTCAGATAAACTCTCTTTGAAGGCAAATAGCAAAGGACTGCAGATTGGTCAATGTTTCCTAAATTTTCCCACTCACCCAGTGGAACAGGATACAACTCCCCTAGTGGAATTCTAATCCCACTGTCGATTGGGAATTTATTTATGATGAAGTACACCCTCCCTTCTATTTCCACAGCATTGAGATTGTTAGCGGGAATATGTTTTTGCTCAACAACAGACCAAGTGTTAGTTTCTTCGTTATACATTTCTACAGGTGCTGGACTGCCATAGGGACGTCCATCGGAAGTAATCGAAAGAAAGCCCCCAGCTAGGAAAAGTTTGTTGTTGACTACAAAAAGACTGGATCCAAAGTGAGGGTGGCAGGTCGTTGCCTTTTCTTCCCATTTATTTTTATTTGGGTGGAAACATTGTAGCACTGGTGGAGAATAGATTCCTAGAACTAACTGAGTCCTACTGCCATAAAGTACAAACACTTTCGCATTTACTATAACCTCATTATTGCAGGCTTCAAAGTTATAGCCTCTTTAGCCATGTTGTATCTTTGAGGAACCTGATCTGAATCAGAGCTAAATACATAAATGTATATTCGTCTACGATACATAAATTGTAAATCCATCCAGTGGACGAAAGTGGCTTCACTGAAAAATCATTATAAAGACTTTTATAAAGTGAAATATCACTCGCTCTGTTAGTGGTCGTTATCTTTGATGTATCAATTACAGCTGACGTCACACATATGTTTCTTTTTTTTGGACTTCCATTATGATGCATGGTTTAAAAACTAGTAGTTCCAGAGATAATTTCCGGCCAAGAAGGAGAGGGAGAATATATTTAGAAGGTTATTGTATGAACCAGATAAATTTTACACGTGTCTGATCAGAAGATGTCAAAATGTGATAAACAAATTGATACACTCGCTAACAGCACTTTACTATAGTTCTAAACACCGTACAAATTATTGACTAGGAAAATGCTACAAAAGCAATGCCAAAAATTGATCGTAATGCGGTACAATTTAAGGGTACAGAGAGGCCCTTTTGTGAGAAAACTGTAGGAAAACAAGTAGATAAAAACAGCAATATTTCGAAGAACCACTATTTGTATGAGTATGGTTGTTAAGTAACCAATCACTTTTATTTATGTACCTAAGCTGATACAAAGTCCCACCCAAGACTGAGCTCCAATTCAGTACAAGTGTCATTCATTTTGAATTGCAACTTTTTCCTTTGCCAAATTCATTTCAAGTTTTCTCCCTTGACTGGCAAATAACACAAAACTACACTATCTTCACGACCTTTAATAACACGGACTTCTGATAAGTTTTTCCATTCACTTAGGTCAACCTGATACATTTCCTCAGGTGGAATTCTAATTCCACTGTCAACTGGAAATTTATTGATTATGAAATACACCCTCCCCTCTATTTCAACCGCACCCAAGCCGTTTGGGGGAATATGTTTCTGAGGCTCTACGGACCAGGTGTCAGTAGCTTCATTATACACTTCCACAGGTGTAGATTTATATCTTTGTTTAGAACGTGCAGATACAGATTTGTATCCTTGTTCAGAAGTATTTCCTCCCGCCACACAAAGTTTGTTATTAACAACAAACAGACAGGATCCAAAGTGAGGATGGCAGGTCGAAGCGATCTTTTTCCACTCATTATATTTTGGGTCAAAACAATGAACCACGGCTGGTTTAGCGACCCATTCCTGATCATGTCGGTCACCTTCATATTTTTTATAACCATGAATTACATATATTCTAGACTTTAATACTGTTGTTGCTACAGTACTTAATCTCTCCTCGTATAGTCCCCGTGGAAAGCCTTCTGGGTTACTGAAATTCAACTCTTCCCCACCTTGCCAACTGTTATTTTTCAAACTGTACCTTTGAGGAGTTTTTAACTCACTTATGGCGTAAAGATAGTCACCGATAGCACACAAGCAGTTAACTTTGTCGTAATTTTCGAGATCTGGTGGTTTAACCCATGAATTATTTACCACATCATATCGATGTATAAAATTATAACAACTCTGATTATTTCCAGCTACAAATAGGTAGTTTCCACTGTGTTCTGCACAAAAGATTGAGCTAGTTTTTTCATCTAATTGTGCTAGAGATGGCAAAGGTTTCCATAGCTTCGCCTCGACATCAAAGTAATGAGCCATACACTGTGGTGAGTGAGAACTGTACGCACCGTACTCGCTGCTGTCTGTCTGCTGTCTTTGAGATTCGTTGGTATTCTTTACACGCATCGTGGGGTGAATAGCAACGAGTACCTGAAGCAAGAGACAATCATTTCAAAATTCCTCTTTTCAGCTGACATTCTGGAATTTTTTTCGCAAAGAAAGTATTTAATTTTAGGCTCCAAAAATAAAGTAGAGCAGATGGTTAATTTGTTACAAATGTAGATTTTCACTGCAACAGTTTTAGTCGATTACAGTACGGAAAACATGGCAGTCCCAGGCTTATTGTGAATAACTATAGATAGATCTAGATACCCCGTTCAGGAAACTTGCTTTCTTCGAACTTTTTCCTTTGCCAAATTCATTTCAAGTTTTCTCCCTTGACTGGCAAATAACACAAAACTACACTATCTTCACGACCTTTAATAACACGGACTTCTGATAAGTTTTTCCATTCACTTAGGTCAACCTGATACATTTCCTCAGGTGGAATTCTAATTCCACTGTCAACTGGAAATTTATTGATTATGAAATACACCCTCCCCTCTATTTCAACCGCACCCAAGCCATTTTGGGGAATATGTTTCTGAGGCTCTACGGACCAGGTGTCAGTAGCTTCATCATACACTTCCACAGGTGCAGATTCATATCCTTGTTCAGAAGTATTTCCTCCCGCCACACAAAGTTTGTTATTAACAACAAACAGACAGGATCCAAGGTGAGGATGGCAGGTCGAAGCGATCTTTTTCCACTCATTATATTTTGGGTCAAAACAATGAACCACAGCTGGTTTATCGACCCATTTCTGATAACGTTGGTCACCTTCACATTTTTTATAACCATGAATTACATATATTCTAGACTTTAATACTGTTGTTGCTACAGTACTCAATCTCTCCTCGTTTAGTCCCCGTCGAAAGCCTTCTGGCTTAATGAAATTCAACCCTTCCCCACCTTGCCAACTGTTATTTTTCAAACTGTACCTTTGAGGAGGTCCTAATTCACTTATGGCGTAAAGATAGTCACCGATAGCACACAAGCAGTTAACTTTGTGGTAATTTTCGAGATCTGGTAGTTTAACCCATGAATTATTTACTACATCATATCGATGTATAAAATAAATTCCCTGCTTATTTCCAGCTACAAACAGGTAGTTTCCACTGTGTTCTGCACAAAAGATTGAGCTAGTTTTTTCATCTACTTGTGCTAGAGATGGTAAAGGTTTCCATAGCTTCGCCTCGACATCAAAGTAATAAGCCATAGACTGTGGTGAGTAAGGATTGTACGCACCGTACTCGCTGCTGTCTGTCTGCTGTCTTTGAGATTCGTTGGTATTCTTTACACGCATCGTGGGGTGAATAGCAACGAGTACCTGAAGCAAGAGACAATCATTTCAAAATTCCTCTTTTCAGCTAACATTCTTGAATTTTTTTCGCAAGGAAAGTATTTAATTTTAGGCTCCAAAAATAAAGTAGAGCAGATGGTTAATTTGTTACAAATGTAGATTTTCACTGCAACAGTTTTAGTCGATTACAGTACGGAAAACATGGCAGTCCCAGGCTTATTGTGAATAACTATAGATAGATCTAGATACCCCGTTCAGGAAACTTGCTTTCTTGATCGAGAGACTGATTAATATTAGACTGATTCCCATCGATAATTATCAAACCCTGTCGCTGATGTAATTAAAGACAACGAATAAGCATATAAATTATGTTCTGGAATTTTTAAAACTTAAAGCTATTTGTTGTGAAACTAAGAGTAGTGTGGAGAATCAACTGATATCTTAACAAAAGCTGTGTTGTAAATAAAGGAAGTAACTACAGAGCTTAGCTTTTCACTCACCGGACTCATTGATCGAGGTTTAACTTTCTCTGCAGCAAACTCATGAGAAGGCATGATGTGATGCATCATGGATTCTTGCAGATGCATGTTTACCTCCGGTATTTGCTGCATTTCTTCTGTTTTTAACTCTTCAATGACAATCTTCACGTCTACCAGCCCAAGACGTACAGCTCCGATAATTTTTCCAGCAACTGCCATCCTCTCTTCCCCTTTGTATTTGATCCACTTCATCGCTGATTTGAAGATGAAAGCTTCAGAGGGTGAATTGAGGTCATCTCGACCGAGAAGGCTGAGTAGCTGATCTGCATTGATATGAGTCAGGAATTCTTTACTTTCGCAAACATCTTTGTACGTGGATGCCATCTTGGCTTCCGCAGCCTCTTGTAGATCTTTTAGACCGAGTCTTGCGGCGAATGTACACAGCACGGAGTAAGTTTTCAGATCCTTGAGCCCACTATCAATTAATTCTTTCTTTACGAAATCACAACACAGTTGAACTACACTTGC